CAAGGACTGGCCCCTCCTGATAACATGTGAAGCAGAGTTTCACTATCCTTGCTTCTAAGGAAGATTCTGGCTGTACTCCCAAGAGAGATTAGGCAGTCAATGTTCTTCATAAATGCAATTTAAAGGCATCAATTCTTTGATCTTCCTTATTCACTGTCCCACTTTCACATGCCTAGCAGGTGATTAAAAAGTCTCTTGCTTGGGTCAGGCGCACCTTAGTCCTGAAAATGACAACCTTGCTCTCTAGCACTTTAAAGGCTTCTTTTGCAAGAGATCTAGCAATGCAATAGGTGCAGGAGTTATGCTAATGAGATCAAAGGTTGCTTGGATCCAGAGAATATAATCAGAAAGAAAACTCTTTGGTACACTGTTCCACAAAACAGATATGGGTTACTGATAAATAGCAGGATTCTGCCTTATCAATGTGTGTGTATCTCAGAGAGAACATTGTATTGCTATCTCAGAAATTCTGATGATATGAATATGATTTATCTCCTTGATGGTGAAGTGTAACCCATACTGAAGGCTACAGTCATTGAGCTTATTCATTAAGTGTTTCAAGTGTTCTTCATCAAACAAGGCTGTCATCTGTATGTTGCAGGTTGTTAATGAGTCTCCAATCCTGAGACTGCGTTCTTTATAGAGATCAGCTTCTCTAATTATTGGCTCAGCACATGGGTTGAATATGCATGATTGAATAAGCATATAGATTTGTTTAGCATTTTGTTAACTGTATTTCAATAGAATTGATTTTCCTTGTAATTCTCTACATTTTATTTCATGCATTTAAGAACACTATGCTGAGAAGGGTCAATAGGTTTTAACAGATTGAGGTCCCCAGCACAGAAAAGTGTAAGATAAGTCCCAGAATTAGAAGCCACTTTTGCCTGGGGTCAAATTGATAAGATTCCAGCAACAGAGGTCTTTCAGGGACCAAGTGTTTCCTCATGCCATACTTTCAACCTCAGCTCAGGTCCAAATATCAATCAGTGAGATCAGTCTAATGGCTCTGGCTGAAGAAAGTCTCAGAGCACCCCCCCACCCCCGCAGCCATCTCTCCTGAGGACATTCAAGAAGCGAATGGGAACAGAAAGAGGGATAGATGTGTGGCGTCAGGACCAGGTGTGAGGGAGAGATGGGGGAGGAGAGCGAAGACAAGTAATGGCCAGCCTGCCTCTCACAGACCCACCCGTCCCCTAAGGTCAGCCCTGAGACCTCTGCTCTAAGAGTACAAAGGTCACATCAGGGTGGGGACAAGTAGGACTCTTCTAGCCGCTTTCCCTCCAGAAGAATGCTGACTTCAGCACAGCCTGTGCCACTCCCAGTACACACCCAGGACAGCTCAATGGTCATCAGGAACCAGCAGAAATTCTCTGCCCACTCAATTTCTCCACCTTGCTTCTCAGAATTCTGTCCCACCCCAGTCCTTTACCTCAGCCACTGAGAGTGTCCCCGGAAAGCTACCGTAGTATGTGTTTGGACAAACTGAGTCACGATTCCTGTCATTCATTCTGCTTTCACAGGGTACCAACCACAGGGCAGCTGCCAGTAGTGGCATGAAGAGAAGCAACTTCTCACCCAGCCACAGAGGGTGGATATGCCCAAATATGGTGCCAATGGGAAAAATGAGTCTCTGGCATTCTGAGTAAATACTGTAGGGAAGAGACTGGGTCCCTCTGGAGGAATCACCTTGATAGGACCTGAGAGGTCCTGACCTGGGGGGGCGGTCTGTGACACCAAGTGTCCACTTTCCCTCCTCTATGGCTCCAAGTATTCAAACAATTATGTTGGGGAACAAGGGCATTCCAGGGTCAGGAGATAAGTGGACAAAAGGAGGACAAAGAAGAGGAATGAGGAACATAGGAGCCAGGTGAGGACGCAGGCCTGGACAAACCTGAAGAGCAGCAGGTCTTGGGTCTATCCATGAAAAGCTCAAGGCATGGCTCAAGGAAGAAGCAGTACTCTCCCCTAAAATATCACGAGACGAGGCCATCTCCCAAGGAGTGGGGCAGGAGTGACAGAGGAGAAGATTCTCTATAAGACCCTCAACTCAAGTCTTGAGCCCCTCTCAGGCCAGCAGGGTGGGGAGGATCAACCCCAAAACATTCCCGAGCAGAGCATCTCACATTTCTAGTTGAACCTTTTTTTAATATTTTTATTAATATTAATGAAAATTTATAGAGATTTTGGATTTCCATTAATTCATTGTTGCACTTTTTTCCCTGCCCACCCCTCCCTTCCAGTTCATTATTCTCTTTGAAAAGTAAAAGAAAAATTCTTTCATTGTTATACAATCCCTGCCCCTCAAGTCCACTCCACTATGCAGCCTTCATTCTGGACTCATGTCATGACAATAATACCTAATCATATATCCCTTTTAAACAGCTCTCTCTCTCTCTCTCTCATCTGTTTCAATGCACTATACATAATTTATCCCATCTTTCTCTGTCTCCCCCCCACCAACCCCTATGTCAGTCTCGTTTACAACAGTGGCACTGTGTAGTATTTGTTCTTTTGTGACTGAGATATTTCACTCAGCATAATGTCCTCCAGGGTCATCCATTTTAAATAATATGTCATGAGTTCCTTGTTTTTCAATGCAGCATAGTATTCCATTGTATGAATATACCACAGCTTCCCTATCCATTTGTTGATGGGCACTTAGGTTGTTTCCAACTCTTTGCTATTGTGAACAAAGCTGTGACAAACATGGGTGTGCATATATCTGCTTGGGTGGTGGTATGGTTTTTTTGGGGTTCTAGTTGAATCTTAAATAGCAGTTTAGTGCTTCCTTTGTCCCAAAACCACATGAAGCAAACAAACTCTAGTCACCTGGGGCTCTCACGGGCCTCCCTTGTGCTAGATTCCACAGGCAGCTAAGCCTGTCTCCCTGGTAGCCTGTGCCCATGGCTTGATGCTGTGATGTTTAATCTGACCTGTTCTGTGAACGCAGCTGTGAGGGCTGAGCTTTGTTGAAAACACTCAAACCTCCTCCCTTTAATAAAGCCACTGGGGCTCAACCTCAAGCTCTAAATAGGTGGCAAGGCAGCCTATACCAGCCTGGAATGGTTCTTTCAAAAAGGCCTGTCAAGCTCCAGTAGTCTATATTCCATCCAATCACACACCTCTCTAAGATTTCTCTCTCTCTCTCTCTCTCTCTCTCTCTCTCTCTCTCTCTCTCTCTCTCACACACACACACACACACACCTCATTCCAGCACCATGGTCCAGAAAATCTGCTTCTTCTCCACCTTGTCTTTACTAGATGAGAACTTCTCCAGGACCCAGGCAGCTCCAGGCTCAACCCCATTTATTCACCAAGTTTTATCTATACCTTCAGGAAAGCAGCAGGCTCAGGCTAGCCAGGATCCCTGAATTAAACTGCTGCTCTACTTGTGACTCTAGGGACCAGACTAGCCTGCGCTCTGCTGAGTAAGGCCACAAGTGGAGTTCCTAAGTCTCACCGGACACTCACTGGATCTGTACGCCCAGGGTGCAGAAAGGCGTCCACCTGAGGGGTATTTCATTGCTCAAGCCCATCCAGAGCATGAAGCCTTTCCATACACTCCCCTGGGCTCAGAATTCATTCTCTCCTTGGCGCAAATCAAGACCAGGGACCAATGAACAACTGGCAGGCCCAGCACTGTTCCTGGAATACAGCACAGTCCACTGAAATGTCAAAGATGTTCTAAGCTCTCCCAACCTTGGCAGCCAAAGGAAGATCCATTTGCTGTCACCATTCTCTCTACCTCTCCCTACATAACAAGAGATGCATTCAGCCCACCAGCTTCTGGTGTCAGTTCCAAATCCAAGGCACTGCCACTTCTTATCCCTACTCCTCTTAGGCCCCAGAGCCACAACACAAACAACACCCTTCTTTTCTACTATTAGGCTTCTCCCTAAAGCCTAATAAATGTTCCCTATAGCCAATGAAAGGATCACTCTAAAAATACTGAACTCTTTAATAGTAGTTTAAAGATTAAAACCGCATCTTCCTCCCTCCTGTGATATACAGCCTCAAAAACCTCAAATTAAAAAAAAAAAAATACTAAAGCCCTTCTAGGGATCCAATCCCTCAGGGCAAAGTCTAAATCTGCTCTACTCCTTCCTGTCATCACGGCACTCTGAACTGCCCAGTCTCTCAACCTTTGCTCACTCGGTTGCTCCCTCATTTGTGAAACTCTCCCCAACGATTCAGTAGGTCCAGTTGTACACGTTCTTTTAGGAACACTAACCAGTCTTTAATTAAACAGTTTATTAGACACCTGCTGTGTGCCAGGTACTGTATCTACTAGAGAAGCACAGCCATGAACCAGGGAAGGATCCTGCCCTTACAGCCTAGAAGGAATGAAGACGATAAAATAAAACGAAACTCTTTAGCGCCGAGTGGATTCCTGTCCAGAGACGCTGCAGAGTAAAACTGCCTGTCCATTAGAGTCTCTAAGATTATTAATACTTTAAAGACAACTGCCACAACTTTCTCGCTCTTGGAAATAGAGTCATGCAAACAGTAAAACAAATGATTAGGCAAGGCCTCTCTCATAAATGACAATGAACCCTGATGGATATGGAGAAATGCCAGCCTGGGAAAAGGGATTCCAAATCCATTTCAAACTCGCCTCCCAGAGAAGAGCCCAGGCCCCCCGGTGCCCTAAGAGCACCGCCTTCCCAACAGCGGGGATGCCACAGTGAATGAGGTCCGGGCGTCACGAGACCCCCAAGGATGAGTCCAGAGTAGGGCTAGAGGGAGCAAATAATTGGAAAAAAAAAAAACAAAACAAAACAGTGACGATCACTGACTCTATCACTTGGTTTCCAAAGATCCTGGTGTTTGAACGCTGGAATCGCGCGAAGAAACGGGCTGCCCACGATCATACAGCGGGCTAGGCCAGAGAACGGCCGTGGACGGGGACGGGGACCTTCACTCACTACTCATCCCGGCAGATAGAAGCCCCTACTCCACCACCGCGATAAAGAGCATAAGGGAGAAGAAGAGCTCACCCAGAGGCCGCCGCCATGCTCACTAAGAACGAAAGTCACGTGAAGAGTGGCGTCAGCTGAGTCCCGCAAGAATCCTACCCCGGCCCGGCCCCGCCCCCAGGAGCCGATTCGCTGCCACGGAGTGGGCGGGGTGGAAGGCGGGGCCCCGGAGGGGCGGGCGAAGCTCTTGGGTTGGCCTACAGAGTTGCTTGCAGAGCAGATGTCGCCCCTACTATGGGAGTCAGTGTGTAGCTGGATCTTATTTAGATATAATTCCAACCCCCTAGCCTGCCCTCCCTGAAGGACATGTGGGTATGAAGAAGCTGGAACTGGGGGGAGGGGGATAGTTCTTATTTATCTAATGCTGCTGTAACTGAAGTGCTGATACTACAAGAGGACGGCTTTGACAGAAATTTAGTCTCACAGTTGAGGCTAGACGTTGGAATCCAGAATGGAAAAAGACCTAGAGAGAAAGGGACCAGCGAAGAGGGCTGAGGAGACTTGAACAGGATGGAAAGTTGTCCAGAAGGGAGAATCTGCCAGAAGCCTTCCCTCCAGTCTTGCAGAGCGCTGGTGTTAGGTGCTGAATCTTCCAGAGATGTCTCTGTGGGAGTGGTAATAGAACTGTGACTCTCCCTGACCTGCATGTGCGTAAGAATAATAGCAATGCTAACAACCACTGAGGAAGCTCTGGTGGCTTAGTGGTAAGGAGTTGAGCTGCCAACATGAAGTCATGTGTTTCAAATTCACCAGCTGGGCCACCTCCTCCTATGCAAGTTATAGCCTCTGAAAACCCACTGGAGGATCAGCTGTAAGTTGTTTCCAACTCAACAGCAACCACTGACAACAGGATCCATACCAAGCACTGACCTGAATATGTTGCAAAATGTTGATTCTGTTGAAATATCCCAATAGACCTCGGAATACCATTTTACAGATAAGAAAACCGAGACCCAGGGAGGCAGGTAACTTACCTGAGCTCATGTAGCTCTTGAGTGGTGGGCCAAATGCACATTCAGCTGCCACACCCCTGAGTAGAGCTCCACACTGCTTCTGTGAGAGAAGGGGTCCCACAATGGATGAATGGACAAGAGATGGAGCCCAGAACATGCCCATGGACTACTGATCCCAGCCTGAAGCTATCTCCCAGATGCAAGTGGAAGCCCTTTACAGAGGGCTTGGGCTTGGAGGTGGTTATTATGTCTTTAAGGAGTCCTGCTGGTGTGTCAGTTAAAGAATATGTCCTCTAACCAAAAGGTTTTTGGTGATTCCACCCCATCAATCCTTTGCAGGAGAAAGATGAAGCTGCCTCCCACCATAAAGATGTACAGCCCTGGAAACCCTCTGGGTAGTTCTTCTATTCTATCCTGTGAGTAACTTTGAGGTTTTTCTTGTCTTTGTTGAGGCAAAGATATGAATCTCCATGGCTGGGTTGGGGACAACAGGAAACAACTGTTGTTAGTTCCCTACAATGGGAGGAGGACAGGCCCTCAAAATAGGAGGAATCGAGGCCCGGCCACAAGCAGATAAAAGGGCCTGTCAGCTGGGAGACAATGGGACCACTTTGCAGGGCTGAAGATTTTATTAGCTAGTTAGATGCTAGTTATTGTTGTTGTTGTTGTTGTTGTTATGTGCCGTCAAGTCACCTGCAACCCATAGAGACCCCATGTACAACGGCTCTGAACACTGCCCTGTCCTAAGCCAATCTCACTAATTCCGACACATCAACCCCTATTGTAGAAAACCCTATGTACAGCAGGGCACACTTGGAAAAGATGCTAGTTGTTGTTCTTGTTGTTATTGTTATGTGCCATCAAGTCACCCATGACTCATAGTGACCCTATGTACAACAGCCCTAAACTCTGCCCTGTCCTATGCCAATCTCACTATCTCTGACACACCTGCGCCTATTACCCCAGTCACCGATTCAATCCATCTCATCAACGATCTTCCTCTCCTGCCCTATCCCTGCACCCTCCCAAGCAAGACATCCCTCTCCAAGGACTGGTCCCTCCTTGTAACATGTCCAAAGTATGTCAGACGAAGCTCCTTGCCTCCAAGGAGCAGACCGGCTTCACCCTCTCCAGGACAAACCTGTTTGTTTTCCTACCAGTCCATGGTACATTCAATACTCTTCTCCAGCATCACAGCTCAAAGGCATCAATTCTCCTTCTATTCTCCCTAGTCATTGTCCAGCTCTCTGATGCATAACAAGTGATTGCAAAGACCATGGCATGTATCAGGCTTAATTCAGCTACAGAGGCCAAAGCCATGGGGCAGTATGACACCTCCAGATTACCCTACCTACATCCATAACCTCGTTGAAACAGAGTTGGTGGGAGAGGGGACCTCACATCTTTCCTGCACACATGCCCCCTCTCTGATTTCCAGACCATGTCCCCAGGGAGAACTCTGCAATCCTTTAAGGTCCTCATAACTCTTTCTTACCCCAGGGCAGGATCCCAGAGAAGGCCTGACAACCTGCTTAACTAGTTTCCTGGGAGGACAGAAGAAGCACAAGGTTCCCCTGAGGCACTCAGTTCCCACACTCGTTGCCTGGCCTAGGGTCACTGATTGTCTGAGTGGACTCAGTGGCAGCTTCCCCTTCAGCTAAAGAGACCCTACTGTTTAATAAGATGATGCCTCTCTGGCAGCTAGCAGCTCCTCAGAAGAAAGATACATAAGCTTCTCCTGTACTCTTTCCAGAAAATCTGCTGAAGGGTCAGCTATAAGTCAATTCTGACCTGACAACAGTGAGTCTGACTCTTTTAAAAAAATAAAGAGACAGAGTGAGTTTTAAGCAAAGTAATTTGACTGTGTGCATCACAACAAATTGTGGTTAACTTTGAGGAGAATTGGAATCCCCATCACTTTTGTGCTTATGCAAAACCTAAACTTGGACCAGGAAGCAATCCTCAGGGTAGAGAAACACTGCATGGTTCAAAATCAGGAAGGAAGTGAGTCGAGTATGTGTCCTGTCTCCATATCTTTTCAGTCTATACCCACAAGAGATCATTCAGGACGCTGGGCTTTATGAAGAGGAATGTAGAGCATCAGGATTAGAGGAAGACTCATCGACAAACCTGAATTATGCAGATAACACAACATAACTTACTTAAACTGAAGAGGATCTGAAGCACTTGCTGCAGAAGGTCAAGGACTGGAGTCTTAATACGGATTGAAGCTCAACATCAAGAAAAAGATTCTCACCTTTGGGCCAACTGGCAGCACCATGATGGATGGAGAAGAGATTGAGGTTGTTAACAGTTAGAGCTTGCTTGGCTCCACAATCAACACTATTGCCACCAGCACTCAGGAAATCAAAAGATGAATTGCATTAGGTAAATCTGCTGTCAGGGACTTCTCCAGAGTACTGAGAGGAAACAATGTCAGTCCAGAGACTAAGGTACACCTGATCCAGACCATGGTCTTTGCAATTACTTACTATGCTTTAGAGAACTGGACAATGACTAAAGATGACAGAATAAGAATTGATGCCTTTGAGTTGTGGTGCTGAAGAAGTCTTAACATACCATGAACTTCCAGGAAGTCTTGGAGAGGGAGAAATCAAGTTTCTTCTTAGAGGCTAGGATTTTAAAGCTCTGTTTCATATACTTTGGGCATGTGGCCAGGAGTGACCGTTCCTTGTAGAAGGACATCGTGCTCAGAAGGGTGGAAGGACAGCGCAGGAGAGAAAGAACCCAGATGAGATGGATTGATACAGTGACTGGGGCAATGGGCATAGATGGATTTGAGTCAGCTAGACTCACTCAGGAGCTGTTGTACATAGCTGCTATGAGTCGCTGTGTCTCATCAACATATAACAACATCAATGGAAAAAGGAAAACCTGCCCCTGGTTAATCAGAGAACCCTCCCCCACCCCCACGCTCACCCTCTTCTCTTCTGACATAAACAATGTTAAAATGAAGTCAATTGCTGGGTGTGTATTAATATGAGAAGTAATGTCCTAAGCACTCACAAAATAATTGAGGGAGTCCTCCTACCAGCAAGGTGGAGCACCCCTGTTTGTGGGTGGCCTTGCCCAGGACTCCTGCCCATCTAGGGCTGCCCCAAATTCCTCTCCCTTCCCCCTTGCCCCACCAGAGGCACTGGCAGAGCTGCCCCTGCTCCACCACAGGCTCTGGAAAATTGACACCCCGCCCCCCCCATCTTTCCCTATCAGAGGTTCTGATGGCACTGTCCTTCAGTGTCCCCTCTCATCAAGGGCTTGGGCAGCATTGTTCCCATACCCCTTCTCTTTCCTCATCAGAATCTCTGGCAGGGGCTCCAGGAGAGGCAGCCAGGGTGCAGGAGAAGATGTGTAGTTATTCATGCAGAGCAGACCCTGGACGCAGCCAGGAGCCAGCAGGCAAATTGAGGAAAGACTGCTTTTAGAGCATGGGAGGAGAGTGTGTAGCTCAGCCCGGGCACCAGGTGGCATGCTCAGGCTGAGTGGGCATCCCCGCTGAGGTCACCGGCCTTTGTCTGAAACAGTCTCCCATCACAGTGACCACAGGTGGCATGACTCCAAGCATCCCTTGGCCCAGCCCTCCAGAGAGGCCTGGGTCCCAGAAAGTCCCTCCTTGGAGCTACACTGACGCTGTGACACTGTCCAGATTACCAGGTGTCCTGCTGGGTCCCCTGCCCTGAAGGTCCCCTTCAGTCTAGCCACCATACCCTGGCAACTCCACAGACCCTGCCTACATCTGGCAGACCCAACAAACTCAGCTACACGAGCCACCCTTGGGACTGTGCAGGGTGCCCCACCATCTTCCACAGCAGGCTGAGAACAAGGGTACATGGAGAAGCTCCATGGATATCCAGGCAGTGGCCTGAATGCTGAGGTCTCTCTGTCCCTGGCTGCCAAGCAGTGCAGCCTGAGAGTGGCCACACTGGAGGGCCCAGAGTTGAAGAATATTGCTACCATGTGGAGGGGACCCTCCAGCGAGCTCCCACAGGGCAGGACTTCCAACAGAGCTTCGTGTTGGCGTTTCTCCAGGGCTCACAGGGAGTTGCTGAGGAACTGTGAGCAGGAAA